AATGCTAATGACAACAACTATAGTGTTCTTATTTCTCTTGATCTTTCGAAGGCGTTTGATTCTATAAGCCATTACAGTTTGATATGTAAGCTTAGGGATGAATTAATATTTTCTGGTTCTGCCTGCCTGTAAGCTTATATTTTCTTATTTGTCTAACAGATCACAGTTTGTAGTTTCAAATGGGGTTAGTTCGAGTTTGCGTTTCCTTTCGTCAGGGGTACCTCAAGGATCTGTTTTATCTATCTATCTATCTATCTATCTATCTATCTATCTATCTATCTATCTATCTATCTATCTATCTATCTATCTATCTATCTATCTATCTATCTATCTATCTATCTATCTATCTATCTATCTATCTATCTATCTATCTATCTATCTATCTATATATATATCTATTTGTTTGGTACTGACTAAGGACAATATACTCATAAATACGTTAAATATGAAGCATTTTCCATGAAATTTAGCACAAGTCAGTTTAATGCACCCCTAAATGTATGGCAATGAAATTTGACACAAACAAGTTTTATAGGAACCAAAATTTCACTATAAAATTTTATGAGAATTGGTCCATAATTGACCCTACCTTCCATATTAGGTTCCTTTCAATAAATTAATTTAACATTCATTACCGGCTTTAAAATATCTGTCTAGCAATGAAATTCGACACAAACATGTTTTATATAAACATAAATATGTGTATCAAAGATTATGACAATTGGTCCATAATTGACCCTATCTCCTGTAATAAAGGATCCTTAAGAAAAAGGATTTAACTGAGTGATAAATATCAGCATAAACATAAATATCAACATACACAAGATTTATAGGTGGTAAAATCCTTCTGTCAAATTTTATTTAGTTCAGTCCATAATTGACCCTTCCCTCCTCCATTTGATTTTGTACTATTGATAATATGTCGTCCCGTTCTCTATTTTTATAAAATATTTCAACTTTGGAAAAGTTCTGCATTTGTAATAGACGAAGTCATTAAAAATGCATGAAGCTGCAGATAAAATTTATAATACTTATTCCTGATATATGTATAACAGTAGTAGATACAATGTTCACCCAACCTCTTATAGCCCAGTTTCCTTTTCTACGGTCTTTCAAAATTTAGATTTGTATAGCTTTTTTTAGTTTTTAAAGTAGGCCACAATCACTTAATTTATCCAAAAAATTAAACTGCACAAAATCGCATTAACCACATGGAATGATTACTTACTAAGACTACTTTAAAACACATTCTAATTTACAAAGAAAAACTTTAAGGAAAAATCATAGCCTTCATTTATGTAAAGGTGTCTAAAATCTAATTTAAAAACCTTAAAACGACAGGCAAAATATTATCAACTTTGCATATGTATAAACAGTCGCAAGGTTAAGCAATAATCAAAATATGATTTAAATTGTATGATTTGAAGTGTTAGCTATAATCTACTATCAAAAATTTATCAGAATTAAATTATTGAAAAAAATCATTTTTGGCCGGAATTGACCACAGTGGACAAGTGGTGTCGAAGTTTTAATTCACATTTACAATCAAAGGCCTGCAACGCGAACTGGGCACCACTAGTACACAGTAAACCAATAAATTTTACCGAAATGAGTTTTTCCGTTTTTCAAAATTCAATCTAGATCGAAATTTATTTAAATATATCGAAGCCTATGTACGCTACCAAAACATTGCAAAATAATAGATTGAAACCATAAAGTGTTATAAAGTTCTGCTCAAAAATATAGCGCATTTTTATTTATTATTTTCTCTATTTATATTATTAAAAAACTTAAGATAAAATTTTTTGCGGTAAATTAAAGCATATAGACCAGATTATTAAAACAATATTGAAATTTATTTAAAAATAGCAAAATAACTGCGCTAGAAAATATTTTACGAAAAAAGTCCTTAAGTACACAGTAAGTATGCCAAAAAGACACAGAGAAACGCCGAGACACCTAAACTTAATTTTGGGTCATAGAATCTAGTGGCATACTCCGTTTTGAAAAGTTGGGTCAAAATCGCGAGATATTGCGTTTTAAAGTACATATTAACTTTTATAAGGTGATATTTTATTTTTTTAAATTTTGAAAAAAGTTTTCACGCATAGACATACGAACTAATTATGAAAAACTAAATATATGTATATGCATAATAATTCAAATGGACTCTAGTTTCATGTATTTATTTACTTTTCTATGCGTGTGAATTTTGTTTTTTAAATTTAAATAATCAAAAATCACCTTAGAAACAGTTTAAACTTTAAAATGCAATATCTCCCAATTTTGACCCAACTTTTCAAAACGGAGTATGTCACTAGATTCTACGACCGAAAATTAAGTTCACATGTTTCGGCGTTTTTCTGTGTCTTTTTGAAAGTTGAAATTTTACGTACAGTGTTATTGATTCAAAATTATAGCGGATTTATAATCAAATTGGCAATAATATATTCTTATAAGAAATGTTTTTCAATTTTGGATCTCGGGATGATAAAATACTACTGCCCCTATATTTTAAGACCCAAATGGTCCCAGTTGGTATTGAGTTGCCTAAGTGAAGCGAACATTTTGTTTTTTTTTTACCAAATTCATTTTTTAGCATTTTATTTATGCAGCTATTTTAAATTCTGAAGACATGAATCGGTAATAAATCAATCATAATATAGTTTATAAACATTTCATAACAATTTAGTCAATATTATTTGAGAATATTTCCTTGATAGATCCAAAAATTAAAAATTTCGCGCGATAGTATTGAGCGTTTTTAATATTTTAACTAGGCCTATGTTTAAAACGGCCCAAAAATATGATAATATATTGTACAAAAGGTTAAAATTTTGTGATCCTACTATTTTCAAATCCTTAAAAAATTATAATAGGCCATGAGAAAGGATGCTAATACATGCACATGTGCTAACTGAAACACCACCAAGAAAAATATTTTTAAAATTCTTTTAAATGGTAATTGTATTTTCAGTAAATAGAAATTTTATTTCCATAAAATGGAAAATTAAGGTCAATTCGAACGAAAACTATTATTTTTATTTAATTAGTATACCAATTTATTATCAAATCGATGTAATACGATATTAGATATTAACGGATTAGTTCTTAAATTTTTTATATTATATGTAAGGTTTAGCTTGTGTAGAATTAAGCATATTCAGATCACAATAATGATGTGCTAAATATTCCATAGATTAAGATTAAACATTAGAAGCAAGATTTTTAAGGTTTTATAGTGAAATTTGATGAAATTAATTACAATTTGTATCATCACAATCTTTAATCTGCCAAAAAGTGACCCATGAGGGTCAGATTGATGTTTACCTGGGGAAAAAAATGTAAAATGTCATTTGAAGGTTATCTCCAATGTCACTAGATATAATACTAATTAAAAAATTGGACTATTGACCAATTAGGGACATATTTTGACATAAAGTAATTTACTAGTACTACAGGACACATTACAGCAAAAATAACTGCAACTATTTGTCACTTCAAATTAAATTGCATTTAGAAGCATAGGCAACTGTCCTTTCATAATAATAAGTAGCAATTTTTCAAAATTAATTTGGTAAAGTGTTTAAAATGTTAAAATAAAATACAAAAGATATGGAATTTCGAAAAACAGAAAAAAACATTTTATCTATACCCTAGTAAAATTACATTTACATACAATTTATATAGACATAATTTATATAGACATACATATGTTTCATAATGTATAATGTACATTATGTAGAATTTGACTTTGTCAAATTTTGACTTCAAGAAGAGCGTTGCCGTTTTGGGCTTTTACTACCAAATTTGGTAGGATTATTTCGTTTGGTAGGATTGTAGCTTAAACCGATTTTGGTAGGTTTGTCAAAACCCATAATTTTAAAGAATTTTAACAAATAAATTATATAATTAGTAGAAATCACAAAATTTATTACAACGATTTACTCATTTTTATATACTGTTTTAAAATATTTACAATTATATCAACATTATCACATTTTTAGATGAATTGTGGATTGAAATATACAGCTAGAGTCATTAATTTCATAAAACAATTTATATTGATTTTTATTAATCAATTTAGGATTTAGAAAAGATTTAGTAATGAGTATATCCGCCGTTATTCGATATAACTTCGCAAATTCGTGGTGATAAAGAATTATAAAGATTCGTAATTAATGGCAAGGAAATTTCGTCCCAATCCTTTTTAATTACTTCAATTTAAGCTTTTGTGCCATACTGTCTGCCCGACCTATACACTTTACGAGAAAGAATATCCGAAACATTTTCAATAATAAATAGGTGAGGAGAGAATGGAGGTCACTCCAAAATTTTTACATTCTGGCTTCGAATCCATCCTTTTACAGCCCTGGCGGAATGGATCGTTGCATTATATTTTGGAAATATCCACGGCAAGGGTTCAGAGATTTCAGAAAATGTAAAAAAGCTGTTTCTGTATGGCTTTACAATTATTACAGTTCATACTAGATGAAAGAAATTGAAGCTCGCATGTTTCATACGTAAAATCGGCCATAAATCGGTTTAAAAAATATATACATATATCAAACTAGTTTTAGGAAATTTTGTAGAAAACATTGCTTTGAAAGAATACCTCAAATTTAAAGTCGTTACGATATATAGATCTCGTGATATATAACTTCGAAAATGAAAAACATACCCGGGTATGTGGTATTCACATAACGATTAAAATTTAATAATTTCAATTAATTACATTAAATAATTCTTGGAGTCATATACAAAATTGTGTTATGTCATTGAAATCGTCTCTCAAAGACTCTTTATATGATACTAATATTCATAAAAACCTTTAAAAGGACTTTTTATCCTTGTATCCAGCTCATCAAATATTGACAGAACAAAATTTTTAAATCTTAGAATGAACTAAATTTTCGGTGGGAACATCAGCAACTTCCATTTTGGCGCCACCCTATGTACCGGTATAAGTTTTTTAATTCCTTTCTTTTTGTTAGACTTACCCTTTTTGATAGTGTATTAGATAACGACAGACAAAAACTCGATCCAAAGATATTTAATAACCAAATCAAAATAACTCGAGAGCTAATACAAGTCATAACCACAGCGGGAGTTATAAAATACGCATCGAAATTAGATAAAACTTCTATAACTTTTTCATTAGCTGTAATGCTCAAATACTTAAATGTTTTTTCCACAGACTGCAAGACAAATTAAAATTATTTAGCTATAATAAGTATTTTGTTACTTAAAAGTCAAACACTTTACCGTTGTATTAATTATATCATGAATATGATAACCAGTAGCTACAACATCCAGTATGCAACCAGCCATTATAACAAGAAACCAAGGCCAAAAACAGAGTCCATTAATAGTTTTAGTAACTGGCCCACATAAAGTAGTAATAATTGCCAACGATGTCACAACCCAAAGAGTACTAATAACAGCATACGTTATCATAAATATAAATGTACGATTCTCTACCATTTCTGCTTTGTTGAAATCCACATCCAAAGTTATAGGCTGTGGAAGATCGGAAACTGTAACTGAAGGTGATCCACAATCTTCATCTGTTTACAGGAATTTATAATTTAAACATCAATAAAAAATATGTATATTTATTTATATGTATGTACAGATATTCCATTATTTTACTTACTCATAAAATATATCAAATCCATAGCAAATTGAAATGGTTTACTGCTTATATCTGTAGTCTCCTTGGAACATTGTCTTAGTGTTATACCCCATATTGAAAGACCTAAATACACAGCACCTTGTAACTTTAAAAAATAAATTATAAAATTAATTTATTAAGACATTTTCTGCATTCAAAGCGTTTTTGCGCGTTTTTGTAATAGATCAGATTAATTATCAGCTATTTTAGCTGATAAGGTAACCTAGTGCATATGAGTAAATTTTGAGTAAAAAATGTAAATTTCGCAGAAAAATATTATTCACGAGTAATTTCCGATAAAACTCATAATCATTAAGACCTTGCACTAAATATTATTTGAAAAGTTCATTGAAATGACACTCACTTTGAACTATTTTGAATTTGCAGAATCATTAAACGTATCAAAAATTTTATATATATATATGAATAATGAATAAAGTTTTTAATTAAACATTAATGTACATACTTACCAAGATCACAACTGCCATAAAAAATATAAAACATTTTGCAAATCCCGTATTAACTCCAGAGTTCGACATAATTCGTATTTTTGCAACGATTATTTAAAAGACTAATAGTTTCCGTTAGTTAGTTAAAATATGACACTACCTTCACTTAGACATACTAGGATACGACTAAACAATTGCTTTCTATTTACCTTTAAATACACAATATTAAAACTATGAATAATTTAATTTTTACCGATCGTTGAATTTAAATACATTTCCTTTTGTAAAACTTATAATAATATTAAACGTATGTATGTATATGATTATTTTAGACCACATACTTATATCATGTATTGTTTTTTTGTTTTTACTTCCTCAATATCTTATCAAATTTACTTGTTCATTTTTGGGTTTTATTAAATTTTACCAATTTTTTTATTTCTTTTCTGTTCTTGCAAATTGTAAAAATAATAAAAATTAAAAATTGTTTCATTTATTATACATTTTAAATAAGTATTTATTTATTTTGTTATAAAAGAAAGAAGTATTTTATATTGTGCCATTTGTTGACGAAAACAGATATTGTTTATACAATAATAATTTAAGTAATATATTTATTTAACAGTCTAAATGACGCTGGCAAAAAGTAAAATATTGTGCGTCCACATACATACATATTATGTATATTATCACAGCCACTATTTATTACGATATTGTTATTATTATTTTTGTTTTTTGTTACTATATTCTAATACAAAAAAGTGATTCGGAGGGAGAGAGAGAAAGAAAGGGAATGAAGATATTAAAGATACATACTATATATTTAAAAAATGATAAATTTTAAACTCTGATCTGTATATTCTATAATTTACTCTTATTTCATTCGATATTATACTGATGAACATGGGCTTAAGGTAAAAATAAGCTTTCACAAAAAAAAGCGATTCAGATAATCTTCGGAATATTACTTTAATCGAATATTAAACGTATTTTTCGCTAAACATATATTTATATGTATGTATATCGTAACAATAATATTTCCTCACAGTAGAAAATAATTATTATGATAGTGTTAAATAGTTTTGCCGAAATATTGATGTAACATTTTTAAGTAATCATTAATACAATTAATTTGTTTTATTTATTGAAATTTTTCTGATTCAGAAAGTAATAAATAATACGATAACTTAATTCGCATTATTTTCTACTACCAATTTGTTAGAGGCACTTGATTATTTTTATAACGTTTGCACTTAAACATTTCCCAAATAATGTATTGGATAATAAAGCTTTTTTAGGAGTGACTCATTATTAGAATATGAGGAGAATTGATTAAAAAAACTTTTAATATTTGGCTTTTTGTTAGTTTTATTTTTCATTATCTCTCAGAAAAAAATTTACTTTTTCAGTTACGTTAGTTTTCGTATTATTTTTCATTTAAAAAAATAAAAAAACTGTTTTTTGTTTTTACTAACATACGAGAGTTTGAAAGAAGAATACGGTTTTTAGTAGTGAGTGCAGCAAGTTTTCAGTTAAACACTTCGCAAGTTACTGAATCGATATGAAATAAAGTTTTAAAAGGGTTATACAAATTATTAACATTGAATTGAATTATGATTTGTGAAATTCAGGAGAGCACAGCTGGAAATTATTTTTGTTTGTATTTTTCAATATTCACATGTATAAAGCCCAATACGTTTAAATAGCAAAAGTAGTATAATATACTGAATTATTACAAACGATTTGCGATAAGATAAAAAATACCTATACTTGCCTTATCGAAAACATAATACTCATACGTACTCATATTCCATGTAGGTACAAACGGTTTCAAGAGTTTCGTTAACGTTGTCATTATCAGTACTAGCCCTTTCTTAATTTTTTCAACTCCAATGCTGCCAAAAATATAAAAATTGTTATGTATTAAAAATGTACTTTTAGATGTTAAAAAATAACAAAAATTTTCGTTACAAATTGTTTCATCAAAAACCTAGTTTAAGGCGAAATACGAATAACTTCGGACCGGTTGTTCTGATAAATATAATCTTTAAGTCATCGTTAAAACCTAGTCTCAACAGAATATAATCTGCTAAATACAAAAAAAATACAAAAACTTATTTTTTAAGTTTTTTAATTAATATTTACAAGAATTAGCTGTTTACTTTTTACGTTTTTTATCTAAAAAGTTGGCAATAATAAAAAAATGCAGCTTTATGGGCGGATTTTTCTGATATAGATTATTTCCTTAAACATAACTTAATTTAAATTTCATGTTTTTTAGTAATCGTTTACAATTTTTTTTATATTCGTTTAGCCGAGTATTATAAAATAAAAATAATAATTAAAACCAATAATTTGACATTTTAAAGTTCTAAAATTTTATTTAAATCCAGAATAAATGCTATTTAATGTTAATTTTCATAAAAATTTTAGTAATGTCAGCTGTTCACGTATTGCTCATTTACTACAAGACTGGCATAATCCAAAATTCGAGCTGATGGCTGCAAAATTTTTTTTTAAAATGTTCCTTATTTTGCTCAAATGAATGCTTATACAATTTCCTTTAAGGGCTTTACAGTCCCATAATGGGATGCGAGTGGGATATCTATCAAAAAAATATTTTAATATTTTTTGCCATTTTGAAAAATATGTCAAAATTAAGTGCCAAATATTGAAAAAATCTTATTCTAGATTTAAAAAAATATGAAAACAAAATTTTGAAAAAAATTAAAATTTTTTATTTTTTTGGAAACAACGACGAAATAAGTCTAATAATGGATCCATTCTGAGAAAACTTGATAAAGCTTAAATACGAGATTTTTCAATATCAGAGTGACTTTTAAAAGAGGTCCTCCTTTGAGGCATTCATTCAATTATAGGCTAAACTGTACAGGATTTGAAAGATATATAATTTCTTAAAATCATTTATCTCGAATTTTATCTTAATATAATTTTAGTCAAACAATTTTATAAAAATAAAATTCATACATTGTTTTTAATACCTTATAGTGGTGTCAATTATCACTATTAAAATATTTGTAAGTCAATTATAAATGTTAAAGGTGATGTGGGCTGAGGTCAAATGGTCTGATCCACATTAAATTTGATAGATGGGTTATATAATAAACAATACTTTTTCAAGCTTATATTAGTTTAGTTGAGTAATTGTTATATGGGAACTGGAGTCAAATTTGGACTAATCTTAACGATACTTTGAAGTATGATTCTTGGCCACTAAAAGCAGACTTATGTTGAATTTGTTCACGATCGTTCCATAGTAAACGATCTAGCAACAGGGTTTGTATTTGACACTTTTTGCTTATAGTCCATTCCGCTTAAAGGCCAAAAACGGATGTATGCCAAAACAACCCTACTCACTTGCAGGTTTTTTTTCGAATTTCATACAAATTATTTGTTCTTAAGTCCACTTCGCCTATAGTCCATTTTCGTTTAAATGCCAAATTTTCTTTGCATGCATAACTAATATTGAATAAAAAAAATATTTCATATAGTCCGCCCCGTTTTTTTAATAAAAATAAAAATAGAATCATTTATTGTAAATTCTTTAAAAAAGAAACAATCTAAGATTACAGAATTATTTTAAAAATGTTCAACAATTCGCAATTTATTTCATATAGAAATTTATATCTATCGTGTGTTTGATTTAGTCATCCAAATACTTATGCCCGAATTCAGAATGAAGAAAAGAAAACAATTTTTAAAATTTTGTATGAAAATACTCAATTTTTGTTATTGTTTTTCATATAAAAGTTTAAATGTTGTTTTACATTCTTATTTCTGAATACGGGCCTTAAAATGGATCTCATACTTTAAGTTTTTTTTTTGTTTTTTTATTACAATAAGTTTTTAAAGCATTTGAATTACAATAAATAATATTATGTAAAAGTTTTTGTTTAAACTATTGATTTTATTTAAATCAATATTTGATTTATTTTAAATAAACTTTTATTTTGTTAAAAGGTAGTTTTATTGAAGAAAATACATACATACTTTGTATATAGTTCAAAATGTGTATTAGATCAGGATTCAGTTATAGTCCATAAAATGGCTTAAATGGTTATACTTAGTCCTAATTCGCTTATAGTCCACAAAAATTGTGCAAATGTAGTTGTGGACTATGAGCGAAAACTACTGTAATTATATTATTAATTGCTTTCAATCTATACATACTAAACCGAATGAGACCCTAAAACTGAAAAAAACAATGTTGTAAAGGTGTTCAGTGGTTGTAAATTTTTGTATGATAAACGAAAAAAAAAATGAATGGTCTCATTTTATAAAACAAAAAAGACAAAAAAATTTCTATGGAAAAATTTCAAAAATTGAAATATTCAAAAAATTTCCAGTATTCTTCATACAAATAGTTTACGTTAACGAAAGTTTCGTTTTTTGTTTCAAGTTTATACCAGATGTGGATCATGCATTGAGGAATCCTATGCGATCAAACCAAGATTACCCAAGATTCAGTTAGCACTTTTTTAATATAGGCTTTCGATATTTGTTTTTGGGGTTTTTAACTATTGCCGTTATTAAAGTGAAAATATTCCGTAAATGAATTATTTAAAATAGTATTGATAAACATACCAATATGTATGAAAACACGTCTACATTTTTGTTAGAAGAATGAAAGAATGAATCCATTAATAATATAAAATTAAAAAAAACAAGAAATAATATCGATGACAATTTAAATAACGTGCAAGTACTTTAAGTAAAAAAATTGCTTGTATTTTTTTGTTACAAAATAAAAGTATGTACATAATATTTAACTCAAAGTACTCGCACTTTAGCTAGAAACATTTATTTAAAAAATCATTTCTTTTAAAAAATAACATTAAAATTTACATACCATTGCACATTGGTTCAAATCATAACTTTTTCAGTGCGAAATTAAGATCGACAAAATAATGAAACTCTTTAAAGTCTAAGATGGAGTATAGGCATAAATAGGTATATTAGAAAAATTTAAGCGAAAATTAACCCTTTGGTGGTTTTTAACCCTTTGTCTACAATTAAGATGACTTACATAACACAACTTTTTTCGTTTTGGAAGGACTTGTCGGACTCGCGAAAGTTTTTTAGAACTAATATCCAGCGTGAGGGTCTTTGCTTCCAAGCAGCGGTTGCTACTGCCCGAAATAATAAATCAGTTTTAATACAAAATTTTTTTTCTTCCTTCCTACTGCAATTTTCCATTTTGTTGCTAAGAAATTACGAAAAATCGGGCCTTTAAATACAGTAATTCCTTGCAAACACCTTTGCATAGTCCTTTAATCAAATTAGAAAATATTAAATTACTCAAAACGGGCAGAAATGCGCAATTTCGGGTAAAGTGAAACTAATTCACAACATTTTAGGTTATTTATTTCTTCTTATTTCAGGTTTAACAAACGTTAACATTTTCTTAAAAGCTTTCATGAAGTTAAACTTCTAAATCAAATTCAATTTTTTCAAGGTTATTTTAAATATTGTCTTTTTCGAAGTGAAGGAATATTATTTCCAACCATTTACATTAATATATATAAACTACTGACGCCTCTTAGTGCTATCCTTTTGACAGTTATTGAAAATTATTTACACACTTTCCAGAATCAACGGTTAAAAATAATGATAAAATATAGACTCTACAAAAGAAATTTTGTAAATATTTTGAAATGATGACCTTTGACTGCGTGCAGTAGAACAGTGTTTAGCATTTCGCAAAAACCTATTGCGAATTTGAATATATTGGTGTATTGGTAACACCGTCCGACACTCAAAATTAGACACGAACCGAATGATATACATCTGAAACTATAAATTTAATTGATAAAAACTGCTCCTTTTTAAAATATTTTTTGAAAAATTTACTTTTTAAAACTTTGAAGTATTTTTAAAAGGTCACAGGATCACGAAATGAAAAACTAAAAACGCAGATTTTCTCCTTTAAATTTATAGTATCTGACGTATATCATCCGGTTCATGTCTAACGATTTTTTTCTCTTTTTGTCGGACGGTGTAATAGGATGATATCAAAAAATAAATTATATTCACTGTTCAAAAATTTGAATTTCGCACAGGAAAACTGGTAGTTTGAACTACAGTGCATTGTAAATACAAAAGTCAATTTTCGATTTTTTGTTTCTTACGCCCATTGCATTTCAGGTGACGTGTTGTTTTTTTTAATATACATACATACATTTCCATAACAATAAGGTGTACGTTATTGCCAAATTTTGATGTTAAATGTATTAAATTGCAAGATTTGCCTTAAAAATACGATTACATTATTTAAGTAAACATAATTGTGTATAACCACAAGTTAAAAACAAATTTTTCGACAGTTAAAATTTAAGTTCTATAAATACAAATTCACACCTTTAGCTCGAACGCATTTAAATATCAAACAAAAGCTTTTCTCCGAAAAAAATGAGAACAACAAATCACAACCATTATTTGATTTATAAAAAAACTTTTAAAGTCTATCAGTGAGAAAAAAATCAAGTTAATTTATAAGTTTCCCTCGGCGCATTAAGTCACAAGCCAAAAGTTGAGCGAATAATACAAGTAGTTTTAAAATGAACTCATTAAAAGTACTCGGCTTCTTTTGTTTAATAATGACAATGGTGTTATCAAATCCAGTACCAGTTGAAGATAATTATATTCTTGCTGACTTACTAAGGAAAGCCCAATTGGCTCCTTCGTCTAAAGAGAGTATTGTTGTTAAGAGACGTATTTTTGAAGATAATTCCGATGGGGAGTTAAAACAAATTGCACTAAGTTCTTTAATAGGGGATTTCGAAAAAAACATGTTTGGTTCAGCCTTAAGTCTTAACAAAGTCTTAGCGGATAAAGATGTTAGTATACCGGAAATTGAAGTCAAAAAAAATTCTGACATCAAACAGAGAAAAGAAGAAACGAATAGTGAACTTACAACAACCACGTCAACTATGACGACAACTACGGAATCGAGCAAAATTTTGTCTACAGAGACAAATGAACAGTCCAGCGGAGCACCAACTCATATCGTTATTGATCGTATCGCCATACAACCCCATACTGGAGGTATAGCATTAATACCCATTTTTGAATTAAAACGTACTAGAAAAAATGAAAATGAGAGCAAAGATCATGAAATTACTAAAATTACAATATCAAAAACTGAAATCACAAGTTTAGCGACAGCACTACCGGAATCATCTACCAACTCTTTAGCGATCAATTCTACTACGCCCATTTCTACGTCTACCACCACAACAAAGAAATTAACCGAAACTGTTTTAGAACCTGCTACAACTCCCAAAAATATTGAACAGCTAAAGGAGGCCGAAGAGGAGTTAAAGGAAAAAGTAGCTGAAATAGAGGCAGAGCCTATTATACTCTCAGCTCGAGTTTAATTAAAAGACCTTATTAACATAATTTATTTTACTATAAACACATTATCTCAAATCTCCTATAGTGATTTATCTCAACAATACAAATATATGTATATGTATCTATTAAACACACAATAAAAAAAATACTTTTAAATACGGTATTTTTACAAATGGCTTTAAATTTTTCTAATTTTTAAGCAAAGCACAATTGGGAAAAAGTCATATTGAATGTGTTCCCGAAAAATGCATACACTACCAGATTTACTGTAAAATACAAAGTTATACATACATGCGTTTCAGGTGACGATATGTACATATATTATTTATGAAAAGGCATTCAGTTTTTATCATGTCATTATTACTTAATTAGCAAATAATTAAAAAAATAAAATAAGCAAAATTCACAAATATTAACTAAATCATGTGATCAACATTTTATAATACACTCAAAAAAGTATTGAGCCATTTCAGAAGTATGGTAAGTACGGCTTTCCTTAAACGAAGTACGAAATACTTGATTCAAGTACTGATACGTTAAGTATGAAAAAGCTAATTTAAGCCTTATTAGGATTAATGCAGGGATGGCAAATATAATTTTAAAAATGGACAAAATAGCAAAAAAATGTACATTTTAACAAATTAAAATTTATATTAATATGAAGCAAAACTATCAAACCGGCGTCATTCCGTAAACCTGGATGTACTATTCAAACTATGAACTGTTTAGATTTTAAATGTATTATTTTGAATATTAAATGATTCCATAAAATTTGGAAAGCGGACTCATATAACTTTAAAAATTAATAGTTCATTTGTATTAGCCCATATATTAGTCAAGAAACAAGTCCATTGAGTCAATAGATTGTTCCATACACTAAACAGTATATTGTATCCCTATGGACTAGACTATAAAGTAGTTTATAAACTAGACAAAAGACTAATATGTATAATAAACTAGTCTATATATTAGAGTTCTGTCTAGGACGTATGTACATTAGGGATATACATAACTAATTTTGCGAATTTCGCAAAATAAACCAACTTTTACCTCTTTTTACCAGAGACTGAAAATAACTGGGCCACATAACCAAAAAACTAGACAATATACTACTCTTAAGATTACATATGTATATTATATTTGCTTCACAAAGTATACAGAGCTGTTACTTTGTGCCGGTTCACACAGGGAAGCTGTTTTTGGGGAACTTTTGATTTTTGTGAGAGAAAGAGAATGAAATATCAACCATCTCTTTATCTCACACACAAAATCAAAAGTTTCCCTGTGTGAATTGCCACTTTGTTTCAGAAATTATAAACACAATTTGAAAATACAAATGCACAACTTTAAAAACAGGAGCATAATTTACAAAAACAACGTACACCCTAAATAATTTTCTACAATGCATGAAAAAGAAAGTATGACTTATTCTTATTTAATACTTTTTTTGTACATTTTAATTTAAAATGTTGTTTCTATGTGAAAAAATTATCATAGTTATGTTGATTGATTTTATTTAGTTTATTTATATTCGCATTTTATATTACTGCAATTTTATCTTTAAAATTGAAAATAGCCAAATATTTTTTCAGTGCAATTTCAATGAAAAAATGCCAATAGTGTGTGTGTAGTGGTAATTTTTTCATCTGCTTCTCTATCTGCCGGTATATGCCTAGAGTCAGACTAATCCAAATTCTAGTCACAATTTCTTCCAACGTCTATTCAAAATTTTTGATCATTCGTTTGCTCAATGAACGATTTTTCCAATTTTAAATTCAAAATTGCGCTTAAAAATTATTTCGTGCAATTAATGAAAAAATATGGATGATTCTAATAAAAGTGAATCAGTTTCACAATTTTTTTTAAATAATCCATCACTCTTTAATTTTGCAAACAATTTTACTTACATTCCCAGCAAAAAATGATCTTCCAAAGAAGCGAAGTACTGAAAAAGACCTGCAGAAGCGATGATTTTAACACAGGTTTGTCATAGGAGGAATGTCCTTTTCATTTGATTCCAAATTCAATACTTCTAAAGTCATTCTCAAAAAGTAATTTTTATGTCCTTTTTTGGAAATAATTTGGAAGTGAATTTGTAGTATTGAGGAATTCCATTTTATATTTAAAAGATTTTTCCCATTGTCACCGATTTGAACAAAATTGCTTTCCATTTAAATGTCGAAAATTAACAAATACAGTTATGGACATCGAATTATGTTATTCTTAATAATGCAAAATGACACACTTTTTTGTCACAAATAAATTAAATGGACTAAATTGTAAATAAATATGTATTAGTTAATTCTGTTAAAGATTTCATCAGCATTAATTTTTTGGAATAAATAAGTTAAACGTGTTACAATAAGAATAACTTAATTCGATGTCCACAAATGTATGTATGTATATTTGGATTATTAATAAACAATATTAAATTGAACAAATATATACCCCAACAAACAAAAAATCTATCGTTTAAAAAATTGTAATACGTGCAGTTTCTCTTACAAAGAATTTGTTTAGTAAGTTGTTTTATTTTTCAATAATAAAAAGAGTCAGCTAGAATATGAACCTGGGAGTTCGTTTTGTTAGTCAAATGTTCTACTGACTGCACCACTGCTTATCTATTTTATTGTGCGCCAAATAATGGTTTTCACATACAAATCTAATTTTGTTTTCTTTTTTGTAAAACACAATTCCTTACACGCAATTAAATAAAATGTGCAAACAAAATGAAAAACCCATAAATAAAGTATGTACTTCTATATCAGATTATAAGAAAGTCATTACTAGAGTACTTCTAAGTAACGCAGACGGTAAGTAGTAGTCATTGAAAAGTAAGTGGTTATGGAAGTACAACCCATTACCGAGTTTTGCTGATTATATTCTGGATCCTTATTAAATTCAAAGACCATCTAACCATGTCCGTTGAAAGTACGATATGGTTCGAACGGAAAGAGCTGAAGAGCTAAAATTTTCCACAAACATTCTTTATATACATATAGGTAAGGTTTGTTTGGTATTGTAAATGACCAATATCGATATACGATTTCGCATAGCCTCCATACAAGTGGCCCCCGAAATACAGCTTTAACAGTCATAACGAAATACGACATAAGTAAGGTTATTACGAGACAAAATCTCTCTACCGAATTTAATCAGAATCGGTCAATAATTGACCCTACCCCTCATATAAGGTGCCTTCATAAAATGACTTTAACGCTCATTATTGGCTTAAAAATACGAGTACAGCGATGAAATTCGGCACAAAAATGTTTCATACAAGCCAAAATCGCTCTACTGAATTTAATGAGAATCGGTCCATAATAAACCCTACCTTCCATATAAGGTCCCCTTCGAAAGAGCACGAAAGAGATTCAGCATAGCCGAATATGACGCTCTTGCTTGTTTTTTCTTTGTTTTGTATCCCAGTGTTATTAACGGTGTGGGTGTCATTTTTTCCTTGTTCTCAAAACGGTTATTACTCAAATATGCCAGTCATGTAGTAAATGAGCGATATGTATGAAGTTGGTTTTTGTTTCGATGTTGTCAATAAACAATTGGGATGTGGTTATAATTAGTTCAATCTAGTAAAACGAAATTGAATGATAATTCCAACAGCAATGTAAAGTGTGAAATTATACTTTTTGATTTTGGTAAATTTCCATAGTTTTAAAAATAAAATGAAGTAAGAGTTCTGTATTCGGTTTTGTCGAATCTTATATACCCTTCACCATAGTGTGTTTAAAATAAGTTTGATTTTATAAAATTTTAATCAAACCCGTTTATAACGTACTCTGGGGGACCAGTCAAATTTGTTAGTTACCCAGCAAAAAAAGAACATCCAAAGAAGCGAAAATGGTCAATTTTCCGGTTTTTCCAAAAGTCGGTTTTTTATAAACACGAAAGATGATTGAAGTTTTTGTAGTTCAAAAAATAAAGTGTCATTTTCCGCAAAAGAATACGAATTATAATTAATTTCACTTTCTTTACAAAATACCGCCATGGATTTTATTTGTTTATATTTTTCTTGACAAATTTAAGTTTTTTTCAAAAAAAGCTGAATCTTACACATAATTTTGAAGTTCTTTATAAAAAAAGAAAAATTGTATAAAATGGGTTCGAGGATTTGTTATAACCGTGTTCGTTATAAGAGATGTTTTTTGTATGAAAAAAGTTACTAAAATATCGGAAAATCGTTATAACCGAGCTCGTTATAAGCGAGTTTGATTGTATTTTATATTTTCCGACTCTACCATTACTTTAGAAATAACAAAACAATAAAAAACATGTTGTTGTTGCCAAATGAAACATAAAACAAGTACACAGATGGGAAAAACCGGTAAAAATGTACCGAAATTGTCAAAAGTGAGATTACCACGTTTGTTAACATTTAGACAACGGATGTGTATATAATTTAATTAACACCCAGCTATAATTTTGACAACCACCGTTGTCATTGTGACAACGCATTGTATGTATGTATGTATGTATGTATGTATGTATGTATGTATGTATGTATGTATGTATGTATGTATGTATGTATGTATGTATGTATGTATGTATGTATGTATGTATGTATGTATGTATGTATGTATGTATGTATGTATGTATGTATGTATGTATGTATGTATGTATGTATGTATGTATGTATGTATGTATGTATGTATGTATGTATGTATGTATGTATGTATGTATGTATGTATGTATGTATGTATGTATGTATGTATGTATGTATGTATGTATGTATGTATGTATGTATGTATGTATGTATGTATGTATGTATGTATGTATGTATGTACATTAGACCGACTCACTCTGTATGGAAAGCAAAAACGTGTTTTTGTTACCCCTCTAAAAATTTACCATGATTCCCAAAATATTTTAAGTCTACCGATGGCCGCTCGTGAGCTGGACCAAAGTAAAAAAGGTATTTTTTTAATTATTTTTTAAAATGTTAGTTTTGTTTTGAAACAATATATCCAATATGGGGTTTCGTTTGAAAGGGATTTTAAAGTTTAAAACCTCTTTCAAACGCGGGTTTAAAATTTAAACCCGCGACCAATGATATATATCATATATATCATAAATAACCGTCTGCTTATAATTGTCATAGTCCAAAAAATTAAAAATTTTTAGTTTTTTCATAAATATAAATAAAATGTATGCACAGTTTTACAACTTTTGCACACCAATAGACATGGCTTCAAAAACCCTTTCAAATTATGCCACATATTGTTTATTTTGTTTAAGAAAAAAAACTGTAAAATTTAAAAAATAACTAAAAAGGGACTTTTTTGTATCCGGTCCAGCTCACGAAAGACCAAAAAATATTTTGGGAAACATCATAAAACAAACCAAAGATTGTTTGAAGAAGGTAAAATATTGAATTGAACATGAAAAATCGTGTTCCCAATAGGATATTTTCTTGAAAACGGACAACACTAAAACCAAAATATTTTGGGTAACTTCATATTACATAACAGCGAATATTTTGAGGGGGGTAACTCAAACACCATTTTTTGTGAGTCGGTCTAATGTACACACATACATATGTAGTGTGTACATATGTAAAAAAAAATTTAAAATTTTTATTAGACATGGGTAATGAGGTGGGAAGATTTAAAAATAATTGATTTTAAAATGTAATTGTCTTTACGATGACATTAAGATTCTAAAATTCATAGCGCTTAAGTAGTACTGTTGCCGGTGCTAGGAAACACGCTCCAAAACGAGCACAATTAATTAACACATTTCTACAAATTAAAAATAATCATCAAATTAATAGCCTCCAAATCTAGCACTTTTTCTCTGAACTTCTCTACAGCTACACAACAATTTAATACCAGATTGGCAATTAACAATATTGATGTTAATTACATGCGGTTGTATCGGTAATATTTATAATATACACAGATACTCGAAAGCAGAAAATCAATACAAAATTCGACAGATCCTATAAAAGATTGTTTAAAGTTTTATTAGAGCTCAAATAATTTCGCGTTTCAGTCTGGTACTGATGCAATAAGAACAACAAAAATCAACTTAAATCGTAAAAGCTCGTAGCAAAAGTGTAATTTTAGAAAACTACAAAGGATTATTGTATTTGTAACATTGGAGTGAAAACAAAATTGTTTTTTTTTTTTTTTGTAAGAAATTTATTGTATTAAAGTGAAAATGAAAACTATTCAGGTTATTGCTTTGTGGTATACAATAGCCACATTGGCCGCATTTTGTTGGTCTCTACCAGTACTAGAAGCCAGTTCGGGTATTGATAATGATACCATTGAGGATTTGCGAGCTAGTATTAATGATTCTCCTAAAAATTTGTAAGTCAAATATATAAACTATCACCTTCTACCCAAAATTAAATTCATTTCCACACAGATATGTGGTAAAGGCTGTTGTCTATGAAATTGGAATTTTAACTGAAGTGGACGACAATGATACTACCAGCTTTGAGAGTCAAGAACGTGTGGATTTAACCTTCTTTGATGCCCACACTAATGAAAGTCACATCGATTTAGGCAACATTCCCCTGCCCATACAAACCAATGTAAGTGGTCAAGTTTTGACCGGCATCGCCCCCGTTAACATTGGTGCCATAAGCAGTGCTTCGGAATTATTACAAACACTTCCCCTTACGGGCAGTATTGTTAATATTACGCACAGCGATACTGCATTCTATAAACTAACCAAATCAAATGTGAGTGACGAAGAAAAACCAAGAATTGTCAATATGGACGAAATAGCCAGTATACCTGAAGCAGCTGCATTATTCCCTTCGTCAGCGTCATCATCCTTACAGACAGATGGTATTGTAGCTAATTCAGTGGAATCTCGTTAGAAATCACAAAGATTTGTGTTTTTAGAGGCTAGAAAGACTGGCGCATATAAAATAAAAATAACTGTTTTTTAGTAAGCAATTCATTTTGTAAAAATAACTACATACATATGTATATTGTAGATCAATATATAAAAATTTCATACTCCCATCAATAAACATAGCGTCACCAGAAATGCAAAAAGGCGTAACAACACTTTTAAAAATTTTTTAATTTCATTTAATTTAATTTATTTCCAAATCAACCTAGCCTATTGGACATAATCGGTTACAAATTTCTACTTAAAAAAGAATTTATATATAAAAAATATAATCATATAACAAATAATTAAAAATAAAAAATAACTTATTAATAATAAAATAAATTTTAAAATAATTTTGAAAAAAATATTAAAAGTTGTACCGCCAAAATTTAAATCCTATCTCAAAACGCCAAAAGATTAATAATGGAAGTTCAACAAAACCAGTCAAGAAAAACAATCTACACCAAAGTATCCCTACCATAAAAAGTTGAAAGAACAAGAACGCACCCCTAGCTATACAAGATAATTGGAATGACTACCCAACATACAGGAGAGACAAAAAACTAAATAAAATGAATGATATTTTTGTTATAAAAACGACATTATCTTACATGTTTTGTATCCCAAGATCTATAAACACATTTGAATATATGTAACTGTACCGTCAGACATTGTCTATTATGTTGCTTTTTAGGACTTTGTTACTTGTGGAAATGACTAAATTTGTTGTTTCGCCCTTTTGAATTTCACTTCAATAAAGTCGGTATTTTCGACAATAGGTTTTTAAAAATTTTTAACAACATGTATTTTGACGCAGTGGACCATTTTCAATCAAAAAGTCGATTTTAAATTTTTTGGTTGTTACGCCTTTTTGCATTTCAAATGACGATATGTATGTACAGTACTTTTTCATTAATTAGTCATGTAAAAAGAAATATCAAACACTTTGTACATCAACGTCTAGAAAATACACAGTGTGTAGTTTGTAAAATCTTCAATTGAGTATGATATCATGGAATACTTTTTTAAAATAAAGTAAAACAGGTAAATATTGACAATAAACTGGTTTTCTTTAAGAAGGATGATATAGAGAATAGCGTAAATTATGGACTGAATCTCATAGTAGTTAGTAAATAATTTTTGATTCCTATAAAACTTGTTAACGTTTAATTGCATCGCTATACTGCTATTTTAAGCCAGTTGTGCGTTTTAAAGTCGATGGGGGTAGGGTCAAACATTGCCCTGTCGTCATAAAATGTTGTAGTCTAGTCTATAGTCTAGCCTATAGTGTAATCTATAGTCTAGTCTATAGTCTAACCTATAATCTAGTCTATAGTTTAGTCTATAGCCAAGTCTATGTTAGGTTAGGTTGATAGGAGGATGTATAGTACATCAAATCCGAAGAAATACACCTAGGCCACTATCGGGACTGTTGTGCGCTTCTTTTATGAAAAAAAAATTGTTCACTGAGTATATTATTTTTCAATGTTCAGAAACTTAGTTTCCTGGACGTAATTCCTAAGAATTTTCCAATCAGTGTTAGTCAGGAATGTTATTTCCGGAATAACATCACTTCAAGTCTTTAGTCTATATTCTAGTCTATAGGAAATAGTTTGATAACATTTTGTTTTCAATTAAATATTATCAATCTTAAGATTATGTTCCAATAACAAACTTATGTCAAAAAGAAAAAATCTAAGTTATTTTCGAATAAGCTAGGATTACCTAGTGAGATACTAATAAATATATTTGACAAAGGGACAATATTTATATTAATTACAAATATCAGCAAAAAATAATTATATAATCCTCACTATAGTGTAAGGAATAAAACTTATTCCGACAGAAATGTTTCTGGCTTGTACATGGCATACATTAGAAATTGTGTCTCTTAACCTCTTTTTATTTGTATCTAACGATAAACGCCGTACAAATAATACGAAATTGTATTTAAAAAAGGGCTATATAATCCCTTATTCATAAAGATATTAATCGCTTACTTTAGGCTTATAACACACTCTTTCCATACAAAATTCCTACAATAAATTATAAATTTAATAATTTCTTCTAAACGGGAATTCTCGGATTCCGCGAAATGTCCGGGAAAAGAAAAACACTAGTAGAGAGTATGACACAAAAGAAGCCTAAAAAGCATGGGCCGAAATTTCCTTGGCATTAATTGAAAATCTGTATAACTCTCTATCAGCTTTTTCGAAGAAATCTTTTCTAAAACCTTTTAAAAATGTCTATAAAATTAAAAAAGTTTCATGAAAATTGTATTTTGCTGTTTTTTTGTCAATTAATGATTATGAAATTTGAATGTAAACAAAACATTGAACCTATTTAAGTGAAAGGCAGTGTACAAATAAAAATTCTTTGATCATTTTTAATTAAACAAAATAAATCGGCACCACTAATTCAAGAAAGAAAAAGTCGTTATTATTTGTGTTTTAAAAGGGTTTGTTTTTATTGTATTATTTATTATTTAATAAGAAGTTGTTTTGTTTCGAAACTAAAAATAATAATATAAATTATGTAATAATAAATTTACCTTTAGTATGTATACCTTATAGTTTTTTGTTTTATTTGGGGAGGGTATTCCTTTATGAATTTTCTTCTTTTCTAGATTAGAGTAGTGATTAATCATACATACATTCATCCTTATGTATATTTTTTCAATGAAGTTTTATTTCATTTTTAAACTATAATTATTTTTTTGTTTCTGTTGTTTATTAAATAAGAAGATAACGTGCTAGAATGTGTACTAACAATTTCATCATATTTGGAATTCGGAAACGAAATCGATCCATTCTACATATGTATAAAAACTGTTATAACTAAAATTCACGTTAAATAAATTTAAATTTTCTTTAATTTTTTGCTTGTATTTGTTACATACATATTATAGATATACATATATTAGTATATATAAATATATTACTACTGTACTACACTTATTAGGTATTTATTTTTTAACTAATGTACATATACCACTTGTGGTTTTGTAACTTCTTTTAATAATTTTTAATTAGTTATCAACTTTTTCGATATTTTTATATGTATGCATATGTATATATATTTTGTATGATCATGTAATAAAAGTAAAAACTTTTGTATTTTGTTTGTTTATTTGTTTCTTGTGTTTCGAAAACGAAATTTATTATTCAGTGTAGGCTTAAACAAAATCTAAACTAAAATAAAAATGGAAAGTTATGCTAAACGAACGTTTCGAACAAGAATTGGCCATAGCTTATGTATGTTAACAATGGTATTTATATTGATTGTATGTAAACAGTTAAAGTTCATTGTTGCTGTTAATAACATTGAGTAGGATTGGGAGACGATTTCAAGAAGATTAGAAAACAAATTGTAGATCGAAGTGAAAAACAGGTCGATGAAGAAGGATTGATATTTTTATTTTCTCTATATTGGTGGCGAGGAAATGTGAGTGGTTTTTAATAAATATTTTACAGAGCGCTTAGCCTTTAAAACATTATAGTTGCAGTTTTTTTAATTTAAAATTTGTAATTTGCTATATGTTTTAGAGAACCTTGGAGGTTTCCTTCATATTTCATTATATGTATTGTATTTGTAGCAAATTTTGCTGACGTCCCTTTTGTGTTGCTAGCAGTAGTCTAGCAATATTATGTTGTAGCCCTTAAAAAGATTTGTCGTTGTGGGATGTTCCTTCTGTATTGCTTCATTTCAACGTAAAATTAATCTGAAAATTAAGATATATAATATAAATTGTCATGAAAAGTAACTATACAAATAGTTTATAATAATTTAAAAAGGCGATGATGAAATAATACTAATAAGTCGAATAGGGAAAGTGTGTTTTATTAAAATAATTGAATTTTACTATATATAATTAAGGTAAAATAGTTAGTTAGTTAGTTTGAAAGGAGGATGTATATACATCAAATCCGAAGAAATACACCTAGGCCTCTATCGGGCCTGTTGTGCGCTCCTTAACCAGTGCCTCAGGTGGGAATCGAACCCACCACCTCCGGTCTACCAGACTAGAACACTAACCACTAACCTACCGGAGGCCAATGTAAAATATGTATTTGAACTTCATAAAGCTTGTAAATCGTAAAAGGATATAGGAGAACAGCTCAATTGTTCCAAAATTTTAATTTTTGAGATGTTAATTTTTTCACAAATTTTTAGTTTTAGTTTAGTAATTTTAGTTTTATTATATGTTGCAAATAATTGAAAGTTTAAAATTTTTTGGATTTGTGATCACACAGCAACATAATGTCGACCACATACAAATCAAACAAACAAATCCAATGTGTATGGGTAGCTTTAGATAACGTTATATCCAATTTTTATCAAATTTACCGTTGGATGCCTGTGGAGGACTCCTTTGCAAAGAAATAGTTTAAAATGTTGCTTTTAAGGACTTTTGGCTTTTTAATTAAGTCGGTGTTTTTGACGATAGAATCCTAAAAATTTGCGACAACTTTCAATTAATTGTTGTTACGCACTTTTGCATTTCAAGCAACTAGAATTATGTATATTTAGTGTTAATTATGAAATTCTTATTATCTACTGAATTTACCAATAACGTGTGTATCCATGTTTGAAATTCGCGATTTCGATGCAGGTTGTGGTATTATGGTGATCTCATCATTAATTTTTAATGGTTTCAACAATGAGTCGTTGGCTGCACTTAAACTGTTTCGTCCTGAACTGCTGCCGGCTGCCGCACTGGGAAGGGCTGAGTTCTTTTTCCCATCCATTGCCTTTTTTGCAACAGTACTATGTGCTGTATACACATGTGTTTCGAATTGTTTGTACATGCCGAAGGTTGCTGTACAGACGGTACACTTATAGGATAAATGTGCTGGTTTCAAAGTCATATGATGATCACGTGATACATGATTCAATAGTTTCCATTGATACATCTACAACAATATTGTGCAAAAGTTATTATAATGAACCACATTTAAATCAATACAAAAAGTAACTTACCCTTCCACATACTGGGCATCTGCCGGCATCTTTGCCTTTATTGGCTGCCTCTTGCATAGAACTTGTCACTAAACCATGGGAACCCAGTAAATGGCGTTCTAATCCTTGATCAGTAAAGAATCTGAATTGACATTTTTGGCAATTCAATGGAGGTCGATTGTATATCATTTTCGGGTGTATCTTTAATAAAAAAAAATAATTCTTAATTAGTTTTCCTGAACATATTTAACTTGTAAAATTAGGTACTTACTTTGACCTTATGCATCCACTGCATATGATTACGCAATTGTTCAAGATCCTTGATGTAGACATCACATATCTCACATATAACGAATTGAGCTTTGCCGCCTCCAGGACTTTGGCCTGGTTTCATACCAGCTGGTGGTACCTTGCTAGTCGATGGTGATGAACCAGGTGCTCCACCAGTTGATTGACGAGGTAGCGGTGTTATTGAAATACTTGGCTGTCCTGTTGATTTCTTGCCTATTGGGTTTTGTATTATTTGGCCTCCGGCACCTAGTTGATAGTTGTTTGGCAATACTACATTAGTAGCTGCAGGATTTCGCACTTGGTTGGCGGCTCTCATCATGGCACCGGCATTTTGTGCATTTTTGCCAACCGGTGCTGGCGGTGCCCGCCCACGTAGTTTATTGGCTGCATTTTGAGCTGCCAATGCTGCAGCCTGCAGGTTTCTGGCTTGTTGTTGTTGCTGTATGGAAGCCAATGCAGCTTTTTGTGCAGCAGCTTGTGCTGCCATGGCCTGATAAGCAGTAGCGGTTGCCACAAGTCCATGACGTGGTTTGAGACGTGGTATCTTGGCAGGAGCTTCCCAATCATTAGGAGGAGCCAAATTCACTTCGGGTCTGAATTTTTTCGCACAAACAGGTTGATGACGGGCTAATTTCGCTTTGCCATTATCCTCGAAACCGCAATTTGGACATTGATGATAAGGCAACGGTTTGATTAAACGTGCTTTAATGTTGTGAACAGCTTCCATGTGGTACACGATTT